AAGTGGACGATTGCTTGAAATTATTATTTACAGTTGTTAGTGTTTCTACAAGAACGACTGTGTTATCTCTATATAGCTCTCAGATTTATGTAAAACATGTTGAGACCATTTCACTTGTTGAGCTGGGTTCACTTTTATTTTCCTTGTAGACCTCACGTATACGTGCATGGGAGTGCTTGAATACCTGTCCTTTGCACCTTACATTTCTGTTCGACCAAAAGTCGACTGGGAAGCATATGAGAAATAGTTCAAGATTGCCTACGACAAATGGGTCGCAAGTCTGTTTCAGTAAGAACTCTAGAATGAGTACGTGCAATGTACTTCACATGTTAAGCAACTGTTCTCATCTCCTACACAAAGCAAAAATAGGCTACTTTGTATAAAAGGCTTGCTATTATCGAGCACTCAGGGCTCATTGGTAGTTTTGGGAGAGAGAACTGAGAACGCTCTACTAGCATCCGTTCGATCCGCTCGATGATTGGCGGTGTTATGGGTGTTATAGATGGAATATTAGGAATAGATAGGTAGGTGATAGAATATTTGTTTTTGTGGACTGTGATTTCCGACCAGAAGTTGCGTATTTCAGATGTATTTCTTCATAATAAAGTGACGATGTATTTCAGTAATCTAATACTTTGGCAATTATGAAAACATGTTAAAATACTCGCGTTTCTTAGGATAATGGCTTCTTGAGGCCTTGCAGAGATCTGGGGTTACTGTCATCTGGACTTTCTTTTTGTTTAAAAAACTACTTCGTTTTTTTTTTCTCGGATTTCTGTTTCTTTTCCAAATAGAGTAATATTGTGATTTGCTTTGTACTCTATACAATTATGGGGCACGGATTTTTCTTACATTTTCACATTAGCCTCTTTGTTTTCATGGTTTTTTTTCGTTGGACTTGACTTATCGCAGGGATCACGACCGCATCAAGGATTGCATCCATCGTGAAAGAATTTTATTCACAAAGCAGTAAGCATTCTTTCGATCCACAAGTACTGGACACAGTCTAGAGCGAAGGGTTGAGAGCGTACTATCGAAGGTTTTTTGTTGTTTTAGGGAAAATCACGCTGAGGAAATATTCAACGTGGTAGTGAGGAAAGAAACGACAGATCGGCAACCCGCACTGGAATTCACACAAGAACTCGTCTAGCTTAGTGGATGACGGTTGCAAAAACAAGAAAAAATGTGGTGGAAGTGTTAGGGTCCACGAGTTATATGACAACAACCCATCTAAATATTAATTTGCTTCGAAACTTTATTACTTCAGTAGAAGCGAAGACGAAAGGTCTTAATAGCTTTGGAAGTGATATGAGAGCCTCAAAGATAGAAGTTGGCTGATGCAAACACGATCATCTATCAACGAAAGAGGATTGAAGTGGATATGTCGAAAGCAGCTCGAATGCTTTCGGAAGTGTTAGAATTAAGGAGGACAAGAGTTTCGTGCTACAACTGACTTGAGAACTGAGAAAAAAGAAAAAGGATAAAGAAACACAACATAATCGTGCGTCGTGGATTGGGCGAGGATCGAAGAGGTGGCCGATATGAGGTTTGAATATGCTCTTGCGCATCGAAAACATTTCCTTATTACATTGTGATACTTGGTTGTAAAAAAGTTACATTTGTAAATTAATTATTGAAAAATTAATAAATTATTAATAATTAATTATTTAATAAAAATTTAAATATTATGGGAAAGTCTGTACGACAATTATCAAAATTCTTCACCAGATTGAACCAAGACGAAGCGCCGAAACTTCCCAAACGTAATTTATATCAGAAGAAAGCTATGTTGACTTTTCCCGTTTCAGCAAATGGTACCATTCACTATAATTTTTTGAATCCTCATAAAATCACGATAGAAAGGAAGTATTTTCTGAGAATCGACGAGATGCTTATTCATCTAAACGTCAACAGCACTGGCTTTAAATTACTTGAAAATGAGCAGGCAGTTCAATCTCACAGTAACACTCGATCTTCTCTTTAATGACCAAGCAATTGTGTAGTGTCTTCGGGAGTCGGGAGGCTCCATGAATCTAGAATTTTACTTTTGTGGAATAATGGAAGATGGACTTTGTTAGCAAGTGAGTTCACACTGCCATCTTTCTTATTTCGACTACTCACTATATTGGGCTGCAGGTAATACAGTGGAAGTGGGGTAATTCAACACACGCAAATCTATAACTAAACCGCGCGCCATGCGAAGGAAGCCTCTAATCCCTACGAGGTTGGAGAATCGGTTCCAGACCTGTCAGGGATCAAATCGCTTCCCTGGTCATCTACGATTACGATATGGAAAGGCCCTATCACGACTACCCATGGATTTCAGTGAGAATCGATTCAACCGCTGTTCAACCATATTTATAAATAAGATCAAAGTTTCCAAAGCAGCAGCCAAACCCACCCGCAAATTCGAAAGCCTATCTGGATGTTGAACACGAAACGAACCAGGTGAAAGTAGTGCTAGGATACGCACTGTATGTAATGCCGGGTCAACAGCTCTCTGATATATGAGTTGAAATTGCTATTAAATTACCTAGTAGCAGCAGTAATCGCTATTATTATTGTTACTATTATTGCTATTTCCATTATTATTATCCCCTTCTTACTTAGGTGGATAACTATATGACCTATCTTAATAAGTGGTGCGTGGTTCAAGACATTTTCCACTGCTGCGTTTCTCAAAACTAGGTACTATATGGGTCGGCTAAATTCCAGAAGAGATCTCCCAACCGTTCTTTAGGTGGCGCTCAGAATTTCCGACGCAGTTGAAGTGTCAAGCGACGCTTGGTGATCCATATAGCTGAGACGGTGAGCGCAGAGTTTTGAATCCGTTGGTTTGTCTGTGGTTTTTCTTATTACCCTGAGCGCGATCCATGCTACTCTCTTTGTTCTAAATAATTTCTTCTTCTTCTCGTTTCCCATGTCCACTGAATATTGGGGCTCCCGCCATGAGTTTTCCATGATGGTTTTTTTTCCGGTTTATGGACCGTCCATGCTTTTTCGACCACACTGTTGAGCTACCATCGTCTTTACTTCCCTGGTACTTATGAAGAAGTGTTATGCCGTTGTGCAAAATGAAGTTTGCCATCAATAGTTATGCTCTTCTGATCACAATCAAGTGTCCTCATTGTCTATTGTACTGCGCTAATGAACAGCGTTAGTGAGAGTATATCGTCTTTTTGAAATTTTCTCCTATAGAAATGGTAAGGAAACGATCGAGAAGCTATATTTTTGTGGTAGAGTTATTATTAAAGTCAATAGGAGTCTTTAAATGTGGAAGAGTCCACTTCCTGATTGACAAGCTGTGATAGGATTTCGACTTTCGCCTTGGCACTCGTTTCAATTGTGTGGAACTCTATTCCATAGAAATCTCCATCTAAAATCATTCATGTGCTCAATCCTTGATATCTGTTTAAACAACCTATACAGCAAACTTACTTGGATACTTGGACGGCCCGTCCGTGCGGGTTCCAGCATAATCTCCATTTTTTGGTGTTTTGTTAGTTCAGCCATTGTGTATACCTGGAGTCCTCAGATCAGCACGGCCAAAGTCTGCCCCAGGTCGTCAACACCACAGGCAACTGCGGACTTTGTGAATCAGAGCGAGATATGTCACCGTGCGACTAGTTTCATACCAGGACAGCGGTAGATCCTGGTATTATTTGCATCGTTTTCCTCCTTTCTAGGTTTTCTGGTGGAAACCCCGGGCTCCTTCTCATCATGGGAGACCCTGCCGGGAGGATGAATCTCCCCGATGTACATCACAGCTACACACCCAAAAGACCTCCCTACCACGACGAGGCGGTAAACCGTTAGGAGGTTTGCAGTAACTCAGCAAGCATATCAGGCTGTTGCTACAAAGATCTCTTTGGTCCCCTATATTGTACATGACCACTGTGCGAATATTCTTATTATCCTTATTGGTTTGGAATCATTTCGATTTGACACGACAACATATCTGTTGCAAGAAGCACACTCCGATTGGTTTCCGACTCGAAGAAAGTTGGCTGTGATGCCACCAAGGTCTACGGCTGTCCCTCTTTTTGTGATTCCTTCCCCAATCCGAGCTTCATAAAAAAGTACTCGAAGTATTTTGGCCTTTTTAATTAATCTTCACTAGAGATTTTAGGTTCTGAGAGGGAAGTCGTAGAACATAACAGCCTTGTGTAGAATGTACTTTTTCACTGATAGATTAACACGCGTTCGAAACGCATAACATGTGGCAGAAAAATTTTTTTTATCATGACGAGGCTAAAGGAAGTCGATTTTTGAATTCTTGTGTAGAATACTTCCTGTGGTGGTAGTGCTGTCTTCGTTCGTTTAGGCCGATAGCGGAATATTGCGCTTCCGTCGGTACAGTGAAAATGTATTTAAATTAACTACAATTTGCATCGTAATTTCAAAATACCTTTTTCTATTTCAACAATTTCTCGGTGATTTTCTTTCTCAACAACTGTCAATGACTTATCAGCAGGTAGTGAGTGTCAGGACGTGACAAGGTTAAATAAGAGACACTTTGCGCTATCCGTAGAGGAGTGCCAATTTTTCAGTTGTTTTTCCGCTTTAAATTTTTTTTGAGAATTAAATTGTCGAAGGAAAAAAACCAATGAAATCGAAAGCGCGAAGATCTTGATGCAACCCTTGTAGCCACATTTATTACCGTGTCGCGTTCTTGGATATCCGCTCTCTACTGCTTGACAAGATTGCATTTCTCAAACCTTTCCTTTGTTCATATTTTGAGCTTTTACAAAGAAAAAATTCCGGAAAAAAAACGAATTGTAAGCTCCACGAAGCTATAAATTTATCGTGCTGAGATATACAAGCCTGTTTTTCTGTGTCTACGTGTTCCAATAGATTTCACTTTTGTTTATAAATTATACTGCGATCTACGATGTGCTCTATTAATGTTGAACGACTAACCCGTTTTCACCTAGTCATGAGTCATATACGGCTCATATTGTGGAGAATTTTTTGAAGAACGCTTTTGCAGTGTGTTACGAATGGAGACTGCGGGAATATGGACACTATGGATGCTGTTCGTGTCAGCGACCGCTTGCTCTCTCTGCCCGCTGCGGGTTCCGCCACGACCTCGACCACTGGATCAGTACAAACTACCGACAATTCCTGACTTTAATTTGGAAACGATGCCGGTGTTCTGTACGATATTCCCAAGATGAATTATTGTAGCTGACGTGGCGTTTTTTGTGGGCTTTCATAAAGGTTAAAGGATAAGCGATAAAGCAGGCTATCATAGTGGGGAAAGTGGTCTATTGAATAGAAGGTGTTAAGGCCATAGTTTGATGATTAACCATATATAATAATTCTAAAGTCAGCTGTTTCCATGCCTCTACTTTTTTTGAAAATCTCAAAGTGTTGTTTATTTAGTCCTTGCCTGCGTAGATTTTTTACCCGATAAAATTATTATTTTCTTAAGAACGGTTTTTGGTGAGCTAACATGACGTTCTTAAGGAGTAACATTGTTGGCAGAGCTTCTAGTTCATAATGGTTAGCTTTTGATTTTTTTGTAAAAGAAGTAACCAACTATTCTCATGCGTTTATATTGCTGAGCTTCCACGAGCTCGATACGAGGTGTTTATTCGGCTAACGTTTCGACGTCTTCGTCTTCATAAGAGCCGACGATACTTGTCGATGGCCCATGCGCGACGAAGACGCCACATCGAGAACAGGAACAAATGTGGACCATCGTCAAGGATCGTCGGCTCTGATGAAGACGAAGATGTCGAAACGCTAGCCGAATAAACATCTCATATCAACCTTGTGTAAGCTCAACATTATAAACAAATGTTGATTATTATAGTACCGAAGTTAAATGCCGGTCGGTTTCAAACTTATTGTTTTGCTATCCTCATTGCTTTATGCAAACGCTGCATGGTGGTTTCTTTCCCTACAGAGAACGGTAAAGGAATAAATAGGGAAATAAAGGAAAACGGCATGTGAAGAGAGCGAGTATCGCTGAATCGTTGGCAATTGTTAGCAGTACAGTGCTTTGATAACCTTCTGTATACTTGTTAAAAGCAGTCCATAAGAGCACTGGGACTTGATGACGAGTTCTCCAGACGACTTAAAGCTACTCTTTAGAATGACTAGATGTAAATCTCACATATGTAAGCCTAGGTCCCTTCAGTTGTATAAGCATTTTTCCTAGTGTAATCAAATAAGCGCATATTTTAAAATAACTTGGAAAACAGCACCAAAATTTTGGTAACTGCGTTTTTAAAATATGTTCCAAATCAATTTTCTAACCCTTTGTGAAACGCGCGTGTAGCATGGTGGTCGGAGGCGCCTTGCAATACACACAAGATCGATCACCCCGTCCCACGCCCACCAAGCCTTCCATTCCTCCGGGAACGGCATACTGGTACCAGATTTGTCTGGGAGGAAAGCAGCACTGGTTCGATACATCGGTAGGCCCCCGCGAGCCATTCTAAAGGCTAAATATGTATTCAATTACCTACAATGGTGCTTGTTGAAATCGAATGCATGGCGTATTCCTCAGGTATTGGTCAACGCCGAGAGTGTTATTCTTTCCTTATCCTTTTATAAGCGGCTACAAAAAATATTGGGGAATTCCAAGCTCTTCGAATTTTCTGGTAAAAAATCCGCCTTTATCATTTAATTAGGTTCACAATCGATGAAGAGGAATGAGAATGATTAGTGGTAGTTTCGTGTTTCTCCGGTCAAAGTCCAAAGACGGAATCTACACAGAAGTCTGCTACGACTTAACTGAACATTTGAATCCTTCAATGATTTAAATTCAAAAAAAGTCGTAATATTAGGGCAAAAATCAAGACATGTTTTACATTATGTAAAAGCTGTCCGTTACAGGCAATTTCTCCCGGGAACTCGTCGTTGACGGAGAGTGCCGAAGTGGTTTCGAGAAGCTACTATGCACCACTGATGAGACAATGGGTATGCAGCGAAATTCTGACTGAGAAACAGAGACATTCCAGGATCCTCGTCATTTACCTCTATTTTTTCTCACACATTTTTTTTTTACCAGTCTTTCCTGCCATAATTATATATTCTCGCAGTAACTAACCTGCGCTTCGTTGCGTTTGTTGAAGTAGTTCCCGTTCCCTCCATAATTTTCCTTCTAATCTTATCTTAAATATTGCGATAAGAGCCTTTATCTTAAAAACGTTAGTATGACAGGCAGTACATTAAAAATTTTTTAGCTAATGGAATATCATGCTCAATATGGAAAGGAATTTATAGCATCATCAGAAACTATCTAGACCAATGCTATAGTCACTTACTTGGGATACTTGCGTGGCTGGTCTTCAATTGTTGTGTGGACCTGAGCATAATGACCATTCTCCGGATATTTTCTAGCTTAGCCAGTGGTTCCCTGGAGTTTCGATGTCAGCTTAGCTGAAGCTTTCCTCAGGTCGTCACCGCGCTAGGAAGTCGCAGCCCCTGTGTATCAGAGAGAGATTTGCCACCATGCGACTGGTTTGATATCAGGATGGTGGTAGATCCTCGTATTTGTTTACTCTTAGCTAGGCTTTCTGATGGAAAAGCTGCACTCCTTCTCAGCTTGGAAGACCCTGACCCTGCCAAGGGCCGAATCCCACCTGCACATCGCAGCTCAATATCTCGTAGCACCTCCAGCCACGATGAGGCGCTAAACCGTAGGGACAAAACTAATTTTGTACAAAGTTTATTATTTCTAACTAATTTTATTTTGCTTTTTATCTTACTTTTTCGATTTTTAGGTTAACATTCTCTCATCGGAGTATTCACTGAAGTATCTTTGTTGCTTACAAAAGCCGTTCACACCAATGTTTACGTATTGCTTCGTAGCAAGAGCATTTTGTTTAATTTTTGAGATCGATTTTCTGAAAATGTCTGTGAGATCTTGGATTTCTCTTTTAGATTCGTTAATATGCAGTGGACAAGCCGAGAGCGTTGAGAGGTGTTCGGCTTGCGCGAAAAAATGGCACGAAAGCAAATGGGCACTTAGTTGTGGGTTTTACGTTCCTCTTCGTTTTTGTTTTGCTTACAATACGCTTTCGATAATAGTAGAAGCTGGATTGATAATAGTTTGGGATGTATTGCCTGGTTGATAAGCTAACATGAAGTTAATAAAAAACTTCATTCGGCTGATCTTCCTGTTCCTTCGTCTTCTTCAGAGCTGAGTTGAACCGAGTCCACAGTTCTCCACTCTTACAATCTGGGTTTTCGTGATCACATCGAGTGGAATCCCGAATTGATTCGAGTCGCCCGAATGAAACAACTTCGCTCGGCAGTGCTGTTTGATACAGGACTGTCATTGTTGTGACTGTTCGTTGATCTCGCTCGTTTTTCTCCGGACATCCTGCAGTATTTTCGGCTATCAGAGAGCGTAAACATATTTCAAAATCCGACCTTCCGTTAACCTGGCTGTGACTGACCAACATATATTCTTCCACTGGTAAGCTAACACGAGGTTAATAGAAAACTTTATTTGGCTAACGTTTTGAAGCTCCCTTCCTCAGAACTGGATTGATCCGAGTCGATTGCCCGCAGTTCTTCCTTCTTTCGATGTGAGCCTTCGTGATCGAATCGAGTTGAATCCAGTGGAACACCGTAGCTCCAATTGGAATATATTTATTGATGCGATCTCTCCCATTATTCTCTTTATTATCGAAAAGAGGAAATATGTCCCATGAAGGTCTCTTTTGGTATTGTCAAATGCTATACCTACATTCTTGTCTTCGTTTGTTTTATGGATCCTAGGAATACCGCATTTTTCTCCTGAGATCTTCATGAAGAAACCTGATTAATTCGTTGGTGCCCTTCCTTTTGTGAGATTCGCATCCCGTTGCATCCAACAGCTTATTTCTTTTGTTCACTGATTGTCATTAAGACAAATAATGTTTCGATCCAGATATACTCGAGTGATATTCGAAGGTATCTACTCTTTTCTGTGTCTTATTTGATAATTTACTTGCTCGTCATCACTGGTTGTGCCGGCCCCGGCATAATTTCCACTTTTCCGGAGTTTTGCTAGTTCAGCCGCTGTGGTTCCCTGGAATCGTGGGGTCAGCCTAGTCAGAGTCTGCCCTAGGTGTATGCGAATAGGACATCACAAATCCGTTGCTCAAGAACGTCGCTTTCCTGATTTTTCACTCAAGATCGAAGACCATTCACAGAAGCTGTCGAAATCGACCACCATTGGTACGGCTTGGCATATGTTTGAATTATAAGGACAGTGATAATCTCATCAATAGATTGAGCTGGTATGTTATACTCCCAGTTGCCATATTTCAGATCCATTATTCGCTTAAAACATCCGAATGGCATTCTCGAAAGTAGCGCGGAAAAGTGTTGATGAGAGGGCATCGCTTCGACGAACGCTTTTTTACACAAACGTTAGTATCATATTAAACTGGTGGAATCCTGATTATGAACCTGTTCTATGGATGACAAAAGATTGTTCTATTCCTAACGTAATTGCTTTTCAAGATACCTTTTCAGGACAGCGCTCCATCTCTGTTGAGTCAAAGCGTTTTGTGTTTGTAAGCATGAAACAATGCGGTCTCTTGTACTCTTAAGATACCTCAATGAGTTTCGTTATGATGTGAATATGGTCCATCGTATGGAATCCTTTTCAAAATCTTGGTAACTCGCATGACTGCCATTCGTCCAATGTTCTGTCAGCAGAGAATGATACAAATGAAGTCTGTACACAACGAACAGCAGGCAGATTGGGCGGTAGTTGTTAGTGTCGTTGTCGTCGAATCTCTTCTAGTACAACAACACGATCTTGCTGGTTTTTCACTGATTTGGAAGATTGCATTCTTACAGGAACCGTTTAGAAAGTCAAGCCACCGCCTTAAAGACTATATGCAGTGATCCGGGTCTAATCTCGTCCAGAATGGATGCTGTACAGCCTTTTATACGACGTAGCACGTTGAATATTCCACCACTTGCATGACACACCTAGCGCTACTGACAGGTTGCAGAGGCGGGTCAACGTAGCTGTCGATGAAACCGATTACTATAAGTGACGAAGAACATCGAAATTGTTGTGCTTGATGCTCTGAAGAAACCTTTAAGAGTTCGAACATTCCACCGACAACTATTAAAGCTTGTTCCCTATTCGTCATAGTGGGCTAAAAAGGAATATGCAATGACTTATCTACAGATTCTAGTAGAACGTCAGTTTTCTTTAGCAAATGTAAGCGAGAGGCGATTACAATGGATTTTCTCGTGCTTTTGCTTGTCTCCATTGCGCACCTTTTCTCCTTTCTCGAGGTTTTCATTAATGCTTTAGGGTGGGACTCGTTGGGCAAGCCTGCAGCCGGCGTCAGCGATGGCAACTATTATTGGTTAGGTGATTACGAGTTGTGCTCACAACTTAGAAGGTGAGAGCGGCTGGTTGCCACGTCTGATGTCTTCAAAATATCAGTTTCATTTATAACTCAAAAAGCTGCTAACTTTAGTTCTTCTTCCCTTATTTTGCCTCCGTTTCCAAAGCATTCCTCATTCGCGCACTAACTGCACATTATCAAAATACAGGATAAAGTTTTCGACGTAGATCAATCCTTGAGGGATGCGCTATGCATTCGACTTCATTAAGCATCGTTGGAGGTGATTGCATTCATATCTTTCCTTAACAATTACCCGCGATGGCCTACCGATGTATCGAGTCAGTGCTGCTATCCTTTAAGACAAGTCTGGTACCAATTTGCTGAGGATGCGGGGATCGATTCTACGCGTGTGTTGCAGGGCGACTCCGACCACTGCACTACACGCCTCCTACCACGCATTATAATGAATATTCTGAATAATGAATATTATTTTAACTGATTCGACTCTAACGTTGCTGAGATATTTGCAAAACTCTGGACCGCAGGTGTCTATGGTGGGGAACGAACGCGCTATTGTCCTTTCCGGGGAGTAACGCGTTCACCACCACACCATGCGGGTCCTTTGTTTCGCCTGTCTCTCAGCTATTTCTATCGATCTTTGCCACAGCAATCACCCGTCAGCGGCATTGATCTGAGGCGCCCAAATCGGCATAGAACCCAGTTAAACTGCGGCTGTAGTTGAAATCATAATGTTATACCTTTTTATTTTCTGCCTACTATAATTTTGCGGCAGGGTACTAAGTGAAATACAACCACAACGTTGCTGAAATATTTGCGAAACTCTGGACTTAGGAAAAAAAAGGAAAAAAGACTTTGGAAAAAAAGACTTAGGAAAAGTCAGCAAAGACAGAGGAAATGAAGGACCTACATGGTGTGGTGGTGAACACGTTACTCCCCGGAAAGGACAATAGCGGGTTCGTTCCCCACCATAGACACCTGCGGTCCAGAGTTTTGCAAATATCTGAGCGACGTTGTGGTTGTATTTCACTTAGTACCCTGCCTCGAAGTTATAGTAGGCAGAAAATAAAAAGGTATAACATTATGATTTGACTCTTTTCAAACTTCTGAACTTCGTAAGATTTTTATAACCATTAGGACAAAAAACAAAAAGGACCCGTAAAATCCGGAATGTTCAAGAAATTTTGGCCATTTTGAAATATATCGATAACCCTCATTAGAATTAATACTAAGAGCAGGACTGGTCAGTGATTCCATCAGCTGAAGCCGATTAAATGTTCTTCACTCATGATGTTTTGCCAGCTTGCAACAGCTGTCTTTAAATAATTCTTTCTGCTTCCGTTTAGCAAACACGAGGTGCTATTTTATTTCTTTATTTACGTACAAGCTGACGCTCCGGCGGATTTCGCCTTCCTCAGAGCCTGGAAAGGTCAAGTTGATAGCAACCTATTCGGCCAAACACCTCCATAACCAAACAGAGAAAACGCTAAACCAAGATTTCAATCACATTTAACACAGCTCTGCACACTCACCGCTTTCTATGAGTATGTCATGTGAAGACCGACCGCACAGAATTCACATGGAAGCGTAATGTGCCCCTCCCATCAGAATAACAGGTTTATGTACTGTCCAATATGTCCTTAAATACTTTTGTTTATTTCAATGATGCTGAGACATTTGCAAAACTCCAGACCGCAGGTGTTTGCGGTGGGGAACGAACGCGCGTTATTGTCCTTTCCGGGGAGTAACGTGTTCACCACCACACCATGTGGGCCCTTCGTTTCGTCTGTCTCTGCTGACTTTTCTTTATCGTTGACTGTGAATAACTTCTTCAAATTTCAGAGAAGAAAAGTTTGATGGGAAGTACTGCCGAGTGGAGTTGGAAATTCCTGACTCTTTGGTGAGGCTTTTCGAAGTGATCTTCTATCTTCATTGGAGATTTCAGTCAGGATTTTCCTATTATCACCTTTTTTCGTTGTTTTCTTATTCTTCGTTTAGGTCGAAGAAGGCTGTCCTCAGACAGATCCACTTGCTATTGTCTTGGGAGTTTGCATGCCGAGTTCGTGCACTGATGATCAGCTTCATCGTTTGGTTGAACGTGAGTTTTATTTCTGGAGGAATTTTATATCTTGTTTAGCCACCCTACTTGTTCACCTACAGAAGCTAACTTGAATATGTTCGCAAGTTATAATATAACAAAACAAGCAACAGAATTTGATCAAAGGGGTGCTGGAATTTTCTAGAAGCGTTCAAGCTGACAAATATTTTCCACTCATCGTCATTACTTACTTGGACACTTGGACCGCCCGTCCTGACTGGTTGTGCAGGCCCGAGCAGAATCTCTATTTTTCGGAGTTTTGCTGTTTTAGGTACTGTGTTTTCCTAGAGTCCCGAGGTCGGCCTAGTCAAAGTCTGTCCCAGGTCGCCACCACCAGTGGCAGTAGCAGCCTTTGTGAATCAGAGAGAGATTTGCCACTATGCGACAAGTTTGATACCAGGATGGTGGTGGATCCTCGTATTGGCTTACTCTTAACTAGGATTCCTGATGGAAACCCCGGCCTAGTTCTCAGCTTGGGAGACCCTGCTGGAGGATGAATCCCCACTCTGTACATCGCAGCCCGACACCCAGGAACACCTCCCAGCCACGATAGGGCAACCGTTGGGATATATATATATATATATATATAGAGAGAGAGAGAGAGAGAGAGAGGGAGAGAGAGAGAGAGAGAGGAAGGAAAGGTTGTTGAAGCAAAATAATGCTTTGTTTTCACACTAAAGTCCCATATTATTCTTATAGACAAATGGAGCACTCGAACTGTAATGCCCGTTTCTTTTCAGGTTACTCTCCATACAAGACAACAATCGATTGCGAATTAGATATGCGTTTTTCAACAGCGGCGGTCACGTTACTGTAAGCCATATTTACATGAAAACTATAAGGAAAATTATACATACGTGAAGAAAAATTTTGAAAAAGCACGTTTTGGTGAATTGAAAACGTAATCTTTCCTTCGTAGTTTTGCTTATTTTTCTACTACTGGTTACCTGCCTTATCGCTGCATGTGAGCGTTCTTTTTTTGTATGGAACTATGAAGTGAAGCGTACGATTCACTGCACAGCCTGGCTTGTTCGGATGAAGGGAAGTTTAGCGTCTCTACAGTCTCGGCTAGAACTAACCCTGTGCTAAATACCATTGTCCTCCTCGAAAAAAGCTTGTAGGAGACAATCACCATTTCGTCTATACGCACTGAACCTCAGGACATAGTTCTCGAACCCTTGGTTGTGCTGCAAATTGGTTCCAAACTCAATAAACTGTTTTTTAACGAGCCAGTTGATAGAATAAAACACACGAAGGTGAATCTTTAAGGGTGTTATTTGGACTTTGGGTGGTGCTGCAAATCGCCGTCACCGTGGTGGATTCGGATTCCTTACTATTACTGTGTCTCAATATCAAGCTGAACGCGAGGCGAGCTCTCTCAACAAAGAGGTAAGCAAAGCGCGACCATCTATGGCTCGTGTCGTGTGAGCCCACCCAAAGCCGATAAGGACTCTTCCTCTCTTGTGCTTGCATTTGTTTTTTTCCGGTTCTATGCAGTTTCTTCTGCATCAATTCCTTGATAACAGACATAATGTCGACCACAAAACTCAAAACTACTAATTTTTACTTGCAACCAGCAAAAAGCCCACACACAACTTTATAAGGCTCTCATCAAGTTAATTAAGCACTATGCTGGGGAATTTTATGACTGATTAGGCCTCTTACTTCCCCGGACCAGCAACTTTCCACCAGACTATTTGGCAGGCTCAAAACACAGCTCGTATACAAGGCAAGGCTTCCGCTAGTCGATATGCATGCCAAATATGCGTTCAACCACCCACAATTCTTAATGAAGTTGAATCCATGGTGCATCCCTAAGGCACTCACCCCCAATCGAGTGAGACAGAGGTCATCTAGTAGGTTGCTAAGAAATTTGTGTCCGATTTGCAATTTAACTTCTTGTGCATGTTTTAGTGAAAGTTTCTCTCGAATGCTGTGCTATTGCGTACATTTCAGAGATCATTCTATGCACTTTCGTTGTATGATTGAATTGTGATACAAAGTTCGCTTTTGACAAGTTTTGAAGGTTAGGATCTCAGATGTCGAGACGGCAACTTTGACAAATTTAGTCCCACGAAGTCATACTCGGTCGTGGTGAGCTCAAGCGGCTCGGGACATTAATGAAATATGGGGATAAGGAAGTGCGAACGATTGGACAGTGGTTTTGGTTTGGAGAATTTTTCGCGACTAATTCAACTTGGAAGTAAAGAAATATAGCGGACGTCCTTTTGCTATTGACAGTGACATAATGAAGGCTTCCCTGTAAACAAATCAGGCGCTTCGGATCACCTAACACAATTAGAAAGTTAATGACACTCGACAAATAGTTGCCACAGAACCTGTTTTCTAACAGTATTGTGACATGCCACTGCAAATAGACTCTCCACGGCAACCTTCGATGATCGGATCAGTGGTCGGACCGCGATAAAGCTCAGCAACATTCCCAAAGGCCTAAGTTGCACCGAAGCAAGGTCATGCTGACCGTCTGGTAACCTACCACTGTTTTGATTTACCATGAGTTCCTGAACCCAGGTGAGACGATTACAACGGCGAATTAATTCTAGAACATCGACGAAATGCATAAAAAAAAACTTCAACGGATGCCTCCTTCAGTGGCCTTAAATGGGAAAGGGTTAAATGCTTATCCACGTTAACGATTTTCGTTTAACCAACGCTGCAGAAGTTCAACAAACCAATCGGTAATACGAAACTCTGCCTAATCCACCATACAATCCTCGTCTACCAATTTCCATTCTTTTCAACATTTTCACAGTTTTCTGTGCGAGAAATACTTCAGTCAAGTCAAAATCGAAATCTCCTCCAATGACTTTATTGCCTATAGAAGACCAGAACTTTATGCAACTAGTATAAATAACGTTGCCTCCAATTGGCAAGGATGTGGCGCAGTGGTCGGAGACGCCCTGCAACACACGTGAAATCGATCCCCGCTCCCATGGCCTACCAAGCTTTCCATTCCTCCCGCGTCGGAAACTTGGTACTAGACTTGTCTGGGAGGTTAGCAGCACTGGCTCGATACATCAGTAGGCCACCGCGGGTCATTGCAAAGGCCAGATATGCATTCAGTCACCTCCAAACGATGTTTAGTGAAGTCGAATGCATGGCGCATCCCTCAGGGGTTGATCAACGCCGAGAGCTTTATCCTTATTTATCCTTTATCCCATTGGCAATATGTGTAGATTCTAATTGTCTTCTTTTGCGATCAATGTTGTAGTATGCCGTCTTAAAAATATAGGTTGAAACCGGACATTAATTTCTGGTGTACCAATATTGAAAATTTTTTATTCGTAGAAATGAGAAGAAAGGAAGATGCGGTACTGCAGTGACATTTAGAGCTCCACAGAGTCTTCATGCGTTGCACGGTCTGGAGTTCATCGCATTCATCTGGCTGATCACCGGCATGGTCTACAACCTTATGCAGCCGTACATCGGTAAATGAAAGCTTTCAGACTAAACGAAATTTATAATTATTTTTTATTCCAAACAGATGCTTAACAACCTCACCAACGGCATTTACAACGGCTTCACTTCTGCTTCATTCTCTAAGTATTTTTCCGAAGTGTATTCTAAGTACTCCTTGCGCTTCGTAGAAAATACATTGTTTAACTTTTATTTGGTGCCTGTTTTTTCCACGGTAGAGTATTATGTGGAATACAATGACAAGGATGCTGAGACATGAGCAAAACTCGGGACCTCAGTTAGGCTTCGAGCCCGCGATTACCCATAATAGGGATTCATATGGTGCCAACCACACCAGCGTAGACCCAGTTTTTGCCTTTCTCTCAAAAGGTTTGCTCAGCCTTCTGAAAGGATAATCGCGGGTCCGAGGTCCACTTGAGGCTCCGCGTTGTGCTCTTGTTTTAGATAACAGTTCTGTTCTGTTTTTTTTAAACACTGTTTTTATTCTTTCTTTCCATTTCCTCTTTTCCTATATTACAGACGGACTTTATGTCCAAAATAATGATTCGTTTTCATTTGATTTCAGAGAACGTTGCATTCTCATATGATGCGGTTTCATCGTTAACTGTACATCCAACTAACAACTATTCGTATCTCGTTGACGGTCTTCTAGCCATGTCTGCTCTCTACACAACATATCTGCTCTACGGCGAAATGTCGTCAGTCAACGACTTACTGCATGTCGTTCGCCGAACTTTGCTAAGGTGAGGTGACCGACCTTAGCAAAATGTTGTTTCGAAATACACAGCACTTTATTCTTTAATGATCTGTCTTCGTGAGATACTACTATGCCTTCAGCAACGTTTGCATTTAGTTTATACGTTGCTCTTCCGCCTAGGTTTCGTAACTGGAACCCGAAGACGTGTACGAAGATGCACTCATTTGCCGCACTGGTCCTTGTGAATCGTACGATTTGCTATCTTGCTACCAGGTTTCCTACGGCAGAACCAACGGCTATTTATGGTGTTGCTCTACTGTTAGTTGAGCTTCCGATTTAGAATACTTGGATATTTGGGTGGTCCGTCTTCAGTAGTGGTGCGGGCCGCAGAGCAATGCGTTTTTTCATTCGTTTCTTTCTCGCGCAATCTTCATCCATGGAGGTGGTCCGCTTAGGAGATAGTGACGTCCAGGAGGCACATTCCTGATTACTAAAATCGTTTTCATGGGCGGATGCGATGCTTGAAGTCCCACAAACACGTCCTCCCATCGTTCAGGCCGAGAGTACTCCTTCATCTTATTCGACTTCATTTTACTTCTCTTTTCATCCATCCTCATCTGTTCTTATTACTTGATCGACCTATCCTTTTTTCGCTATACTCCATGGAACCACAAATCGCTCAACCGGCTTTCATCGGATTGGAGATATCGAATTCTTATTCAACTTCACCTAACTTGCTAGGAACATTAAGTCCTACCTTTATACTAAGTTTTGAAACTCCGGAACACGCCCTCCATTATGAAGCGATAGGCCTGAAAATAGCCCCTATATGACAGAGGTAATTTTATCGAGATTTTAAACAGTTTGCATAGCTTCCTCTTATAAATCGGCCATGAAGATGAAATTTACTTAATTATTCCTCTTGTAAAGTAGTTACGGTTATTTTAACTTGATGGAGCTTCGCATCAGTCCATGATCCTTAAAATCAGCAGTTGATCAAGCATCACTTTAGAGACATTTTTTCGTTATGCATTGTTTATTTGTATATTTGACAAAGACTGATTACTTCATTGGCGAACGTGCACGTGCTACTAAAATTATCTATTCTCTGGCGCAGTAGTGTTTGCGGGTTCGGCCTTTTCAAGTCCTTGAACCGACCATTTGGGTAATTCACAATTCACCACATATTCACTCGTCGTATTTTGCTGGAGTCTACTCCTTTGTTCCGTTAATGTCTATATAGTGAACTCTGCGTTTAAATTTCACAAGTAAACCAGTCCATGTACACGCCCTCTCCATCACTCCCTCCTTATTTGGTGAATTGAAAGCAGATTTGTCTATGAAAGTTCCTAGCGATTTACAAAGTCCGATGACCGACCGTTGTGAGGATCTAGAGGAACTTTAGCACAGCTATCCCAAGGTTTTAAGGAGAATCAATCAGGAGGAGAAGGATTTAACAATATTTTTGAAGAAGAAAAAGCCAACATGTGCTTGTCGAGCGCAAGTCATAAGACCCTGAAGAAAAGCGAATGCAAAACAACACGATGAATGAAATAAATGCTGAAATGAGCGCTGTATTTCGAGAAGGGTCATTTAACCTAGCGAGCAATGCATGAGAGGAAAACACAAAAATTGTGTGCAGATGAAGATTTCAGATTTTGGCCCGCGTATGCGTTCTGCGTTTTATTCATGTGGATCTTGTTTCCAGAATCGTCATCTGGTCCTCTGTGGATTCATACTGAAACGGTTAGAAAGTTTTACTGCATGCGGACTTGAAAGAACAATTTCCAAACTCTCGACTGATTTTTTACTTATAGGCGGAACGCTGTTCGAACAGCTGGTGGAAGAACATCCTATTCATTAACAATCTCTTTGGTGTGAGGGATACGGTAAGCAGAGTACCATCCTCAAAAATTCGACGCCTCACTTATTCTACCGTTGAGCACCGTATTGTATACAGCTTGAACAAAATTCAGGATAAAGTTGAGGAAATCGATCAGTCGAAGCAGAGCTATTCAAGCACCAGGCACATGCTCAAATTGGTTCTAAAAACTTCGGCTGCTCGTTTTATTTTTAAATTAGTCCTCTCTTAGTTAAAAACACCTGATGTGGATGATTTTTTAGCTTTGTACTGTCATAATTATTAATCTGGTGCTTTATTTGGCCATCGTTCCTTGTTCCACGGAGAACTGCTGAAATAACCAAAAACGAAGTTAAAACTGATAGTCATTCTGAAAGATCGTTATTATATGAAAGCAGTACATTAGAAAGAAATGCCTTTTGAGGTTTGCAGTGTGTCGATTTCGGCTATGTCGTTTCTCTAGAAGCTCAGTACTTTGTGCCTTTGATAGCGCTGATCTATCTGGCGAGAACTCGACTACTTCTGGCTAAGGTGAGACCATAGTGATACTAGCAATATTTTTATTCATGCTGATATCTAGGTGTTAGAAATAGCGCAGGGTTTTCGACGTGTTTTGTTGGTAAATCTAAAAAGAAAGCTATGTCGGTGTCGGAATCCTTCAAGCATTTGCATTTTGCATATCCGCAGTGGTGTTTATTCATACGGTAACGTGCCGAAGACTGGTTGATATCTGTTTATGGTCGTCATAGGTGTTTGTTGTGTGCTTGCAGGTTTTCGAACAGCTGTGGAAGCTCAGCTAAGATTAAATAGGGAATAAATCTCAAGGTTTAAAGGAATTATAGTGCTGGGCATAAAATGAATATAACCCCAAGTTCAAATTTGTGGACGATTGTATATGATGATGAATAAAACGACTGCAGTGGACTCCGATGGAAATATGCCGTATTCTCCGAAATCTATTCTTTTGAATAATCTTAGGAAACCATTTGTAAGCATATGAGAGCGACAAAAATGGTTAGGAAAGATTTACAACAAGTTCCTGAACACAGCTGTCTCGAAGCCACCTCACTTATCTCGTTGAACCAGCAGAGTTAAAAATGTACTACATTGTTTGGGAACTAATGTAAGGTTTCAACGCGTTTCTTCAAAGTGCCATACCAAAGCTCAGAATAATCTTTATTAATTGAAATAAGAACCATTGCCTCAAATGAAAGGAGGTTGAAAGAATATCGACCACTTTTTAGAAAAGTTCACATACTGCATTTTGGGGATGAATATTGCAAAAACAACAAAGTAGTTCAGAGGGCAAGGCTACAAGCCGACTAGGCCCTTATGAATATGATGAGCACATCCCATTATATTGAGCCAGTTTGATAACTTTATAAAAGGTGTCTCTGTAAGGATCGATCCTTATCCTGTATATAATATCACTTAAATTTGCTGACGTTACGGTCTCGAACCAAAACCCAGGAGAAACTAAAGTGCATCGATAATCCATGAAATATAATTGAAAGAAAAGAATTCAGATCATTGCCAGTTTACTTATGTCGGTCTCGACTTTGATTGGATTCTATCGCACCTATGCCGGTGCTCTTCCACCAGCACCTCTACTCACTGCAGAACCAATAGAGTGAGAAGTGCTTTTAATTTTCTACTTCGTATTTTTCAGCGATTCGTGGTCGTTAAAAACCTATATTTAAGCACAACTTTAAAACATCGTTGAGGATGTGGGTTTAGATTTCATATGAGTGACAGTTTGTTAGCAGCTTCGGCTTCAAATATGATTGCAAAGAATTTAATCTCTACATACCAAGTTTTTTCGGTTTTCCGAAATGAAATATCCAATATTCCAATAGTTAGGCTCGTGTAGCGCACTTGTTAGAGGTTCCTTTACGTGATCATTTGTTCGATCCCGTGCGCGGAATAAGCCGTGTCTTTCATCCTATTCGAGGTCCTCGAGTTTTGTGGAGGACACATCTATGTGGATAAAAACACTGGTTCGATTCATTGCTAGGTCACAACAAATCCATAGCATTGAACTACCTCTACAATTACTACGATACTCAGCTATTTGAAATATTTGGACCCAAGGCCAGAATGGAATCCGCGATTTCTCATTCCTGAGGCTCAAGTGTTGCTCACTGCACCACTGAGGCCCTTGCTTCGCCTTTCTTTCAGCCATTTTTCTACCTACGGGTGCTATCAGTAGTTATCTGTCAACGAGAACGATTTGGAGAGCACAAATCGGTAGCGAACCCAGTTATGTGCAGGCTATAGTCGAAATCACAATGTATTCCACATTATACTGTGTAACGAAAAGTAATAAAAGACAAAAAATGAAAGATTGACATTGTATCACAGTAGAGTATGATGCGAAATACATTGTGATTTCGACTAAAGCCTCTACTTAGCTGGGTTCAATACCGATTTGTGCTTCCTAGATGACTCTTGCTGGTGGTTGATTTCTAGCGGCACCGTTAGATAGAAAACTGGCTGAGAAAGATGCAAACATGATCTTCAGTGGGGCAGTTAGTAAAACGCGAGCCCTGGGAATAGATAATCGCGGGTTCCAATCTGGTGTGGGGTCCAAGTTTTGCAAATATTTCATCATCATAGTAGTTGTATTTTACATCACATCCAGCCGTGAAAACTATTAATGGACAGTGAGTAAAAAATTAACATAGCTCTACAATTCTTAATGTGCTATTGAGCAATTCTGAGAGATTCACTCAGAACATATTGACCTTTGTCGTTTTAATAGTGTATTCTTTTACGGTCTCTTAAAGACGAGTGTAGCTCAGTAGTTATAGGCTTCCTGCAGTGCACAGGGATCGATCCCGTGACCCAGTCTCACCAAACCTTCCGTCTACGGGGTCGCTAAATTTGTACCAGACCTGTCTGAGAGAATAGCAGCACTGACATGATACATCGATAGGCCTCCGCGAGTCATTGTAGAGGCCAAATATGCATTCAATCACCTCCAAACGATGCTTAATGATGTCGAATGCATGGTGCATCCCTCACGGATTGATGAACGCCGGGAGCTTTGTCTTTTATCGCTTTATTTCTATGGGGTACTGAGATAGCACGATTTTCATGTCGAAAAAAGTGATTCACGTGCAATTTCTACAGTCCGCATTTATTCACCTTGGACGTGATATAATTAAAACTTGACTGCATGTCGTATTTTATCCCTTTTGTCCATTTTCAAAACATAGTGTTGCTTTCGCTTGAGAATTCTTCCGCTCTGCTTTTTAAACTTCATTTTTTACAAAAAAAAAACTGAACTACTTCTGTGATCTTTACAAGCGACATTTTTGGAGGGCGATAGCGATGCTGCAGCATTTCCTGGTGCTTCCGCCACACTGTAAATCCTTTCCACCGTTGTTCCTCTGAACCAGTGCCTTCCGCTATGGCGATTGATTTGTTTGTACACACTGCCATTCTAGTAGCTAAAATCACATTCGTTCCGGTTTATAACACTATGATCTTAGCCGTGTTCTAACAGTTTTAGACTGGAGCGTACTGAGCAGATGCTTAACATGCTGCTAATCTCTCCGTTGGTGAGAGCTTCACCGACTTTAGTCGGTTTTCTGTTCGGCGTCTGTATGTGGAATGAAGATGGACCTGTAAAGAAGAACTTATTGGGAAGGGTGAAGTCATTCTATGTTTATGATTGGTTTATTACAGAATAAGAAAAATAAACATTCGCTCTACCATAAATCCTTGTTTAAGACGAAAAACTGCTTACACTTTGACGTTTGTTTTGAAGCAGTCAAGAATTTTCCATTTGCCTCCCAAGGTCTTACCTACTTGGTTTTTTTCTCGAAATGTTTGCTGTTCATTTTTACTTTGCGCTTTTTACAGCTGTTCACGGTGCTTGTGTCGGTGTTCTGCTTACTGTCAGCATTATTCGTTATGTTCGCGCTACATCCGTTCGCCACCTCTTCAATCGGTCATCCAGTCTTCCTGGCCTGCTACGCCGCCTTTCATCGACCACTTTGGGCCTGGTCATTGCTTTCGTTTCTCTATCTTTCTCACCACGGATCATTCGGTAAATGCTTGAAATATTTTTTGGAAAACTACAGTTGTACATCCTTGGTAGATATCGATCGGTATTTTTCTGTAGTTTCTATTCGGTTATGTTGATTACAAGACTACTGGTCAGGAATTTGAAATCTTTTTGAAGTCGAAATCAGTTTACGAACTATGACGCGGAGTACTGACAAACTGCCAAGAATAGGGCACTTCTTCTTTTTGCCAGCTCATAAAGAATTTTTTTGTTTTATTCAGTTATTAAATGACCCGTCATCAGATCCACTGCGCGGATTCCAGCACTTTTTGCATTCGATTCATTTTACTGGCATTGATCACCCGCAGTGGTCTTCGAACATTTGCCGTGTTGATTTGACTGCTGCTTGAGAAGTTAATCTTCCTTACTGGTTTCCGAGAATGCTGGTCAAGTCGGTTTGAAAAGGGGTTCGAAGCAACACCTTGGTTTCTCATGGACTGCATTACTAACCACTTCGTTATACCATTCTAGGAATCTGAAGTGAATCATGCACTTTAATATTAGCAGCTTATATTTCAAACACCGACTTTCTTTTAACCTCGGCATGACTAATCATCATGTTCTTTCACTAATAAGCTAACACGAATCTGATAAATAAAAGTTTAAAATTTTACTTATCAACCTCGTGTTAGCTTATCAATGAAAGAGTAAATGTTGATTAATTTTGAAACGGACCGTCGTTTAACCTCGGTAGTAAAATAATCAATGGTGCTTATATTGTTGAGCCTAAACGAGGTTGATAGAGATGTTTATTTGGCTAACGTTTCGACGTCTTCACCTTCATCGGAGCGGACGATCCTTGTCGATATCCACAGCTGTTCCTTGAGGGTCGTCTGATGAAGACGATATCGGAACGTTAATCGAATAAACATTTCCGTCAACCTCATGTAATCTCAGCAATATAAGCACATGCTGATTAATCATGCCGAGGTTAAAGGGAAGTCGGTTTTTGAAATATTAATACGCGGCGTACTAGCTGATAAAGATACCGACTTCTCCAAAATGGATCGCCCAGGAAAAACAGGTTGTTATTACCGGACAATCACCCCCAACAACAACCGTCCTTTACAAAACGGCATCGCCGAGTGAGGCTCCCTCATAAAGAAAATCCGACTCGATATGACGACGAAGATAAATCAAGAAGGCGAACTGACTGACTGACGGACTGTGGACCATTGACTCGAACGATCTGCTCGGACGCAGTAAGACGGGGACATCGAAACGTTAGCCGAATAAAGTTTATTTATCAACCGCATGTTTATTTATCAATGAAAGAATACTAGCGGCTTACCCTAGAAAACAGGTACAAGCCAATCTTCCTGACAAAAGTTCCCAAGATCGACTTTCTCTTAACCTCGGCATTGGAATATGAATGTGTCGTTTTCTTGTTCAGCAATCGCGAGGTTTTTAAACAGCATACATTTACTTCCATAAAAACACAATACAATACAACGCTAGCTGACGTTTCGGCAGTATCGCCTTCTTCAGAGCCTGGAAGGGTAT